TCAGCACAAAGCAGCAAAACCCTCACCACTGGGACTCCTGGGAAGAGAAACGACATCCTTGGACCGTCCGTGAGGGCCAGGTGACACCTGGCTTCCCAGCAGTTCACCCAGGAGGCCGTGGGGGGAGGCCGGCCCCCCCCAGGAGCCCTGGGGACAGGTGTGCCGCACATGAAGCTGTATCTCAGCCCCACTCAGGTAGCTTCACCCATCACATCAGACCCCACCCGCTGCTCCAGAGTTCAGCAGTTCCACAGTCCAGGGTGAGTTTTAATATACAAATGTTTTGCATTGCAGTCGCCAAAGAAGCACAAAGTGTCTATGTTTGTACATACTCAATTAAAACAAAAGTAATTTAAGGCAAATTAGGTTTTGGGATCTGAGATATTTCACCATTTCCTCTTACAGGGGTGGACATACACCTTCATCTGGGGATAGGTGGTCCTTGAAGCCCCCCAACCACTGCCCCCCTCCGTGGAGACACCCACCGCACAAGGGACAGCTCCGGTTCACACAGGCCCAGCCAGTGCGGACAGGCGTCCCACGTGACGTCGGGCTTTAAAGTTTCTACGGAGTGGAAACACAGTCTGAACACAGCATACCCTGGTTACTGATTACACAGACTCACATGGACCCAGCCGGGCACAACTGTGTCTCTGGAAATGTAACAACTAACCGACGGTCCACAGGTGCCTGTGTGACCAGTGTCTCTGGCAGGTGGTGGCCAGGCTCCCGCACTCCAGCGCTGGTCTGAGTCCTCACTCTCTGCCCCACAAGCTCTGCCCCGGGAGCAAGTTACCCCACCTCCTCTCTTTCAGGCTTAAGAGCTAAGCAGGGTCCCACCAGCAGAAAACTGGGGTGGCCCAGGTGGAAACCCAGGACAGTGGAGGTGGACAGTGATGGCCCAGGTCACGCTGTCTACATGTGATGTACTATATGGATGCAGGCATGACCGGCCAAATGGCTGGGGTGACAAGCCTACGTGCCAATGGCGTGTGACACACACAGCGGGGCCTTCAGGAGACCGAGACCGCCTCTAAGAGCCAAATTCAGTGGGAAAGACTAACAGGAATGAAAACTCCAGACAGAAAACAGTGGGTGCTGAAAAGGATACAAACAGGCATCTGTCATCCTCCTCACCATGTTTTCAGGTCCCATGCTCCCCTTTCTTGCACCACTACAGTTTTAGAGACTGTGCTGCCTCTTTTTAATGAAAATGTCAACAACTCTCATTAAATGCAGGCTCCTTGAAACAGATTAATTGTTTTCAAGGCATTCTTTTTTAAAGAGGTATTTATTACAGTCAATTATTCTTGACACTTTGAAATAACCTGATGATGCTCAGATGATTTAGATTAAGACCCTAAAAGTAACAAAGCCTTACATCTACTCTGTCATGAGAACAAAAGTGAAGAATGTAAACTAATACTCTAACATTTTAATTCTCTGCCCAAGTACGCACTCATATATGTGTGTGTGAGAGAGAGAGAGAGAGAAAGAGAGATCTAATACCCTTCCTAAATCTCACCCAGGCAGGGTATTCTAATCCTTACATTTGAAAAATTACATACCCTTCCTTTTCTGCCTTCCTTTTTTGAGACGCCTATTCATCCCTCAAAACCCAGTGAAATGCTACCACCCAAATTCCCCAAGCAATTACTTAGACACTCTTCTGGATTCCCAAGATATTTGTGATTCCTCTAACACAGTGCAGTTCACACTGCACTGAATTATTTACAGGTATATTTCTTCCACCAGAGTCTGAGATACCTACTGTGTTGTCATGCACTTAGCACAACGCTGGGCACATATTAAGTATAAGTGTTTGTGAAGAAATGAGCAGATGAATGGACATAGGGATGAATTCAAAACTTGCTTACAATAATCAAACTCCATCCCAGAAATCGAATGGCTCAGATTTTCCTTAAATCACATCATAATATACATCAGCAACAGAGTTTTTCCTATTTCCACAGTATGAGAGGGTGTGTGCATGCTAAGTCATTTCAGTCGTGTTCAACTCTTTGCAACCGTACGGACCATAGCCTGCCAGGCTCCTCTGTCCATGGGGATTTTCCAGGCAAGAATACTGGAGTGCGTAGCCATTCCCTTCTCCAGGGGATCTTCCCAACCCAGGGATCAAACCCACATCTCTCATGTCTCCTGCACTGGCAGTTGGGTTCTTTACCACTAGCGCCATCTGGGAAGCCCTCTTAACAGGGTTCAGAATCCTACATATTTTTCTGAAGAAGTATTACCCCATTCACCTCTGACCTTTTAGATCTAATACTAATGTAGTCTTGGAAGCAAAAGAACCACATAAATGAAAAGAGAAAAAGCAATCCTAAATACATTTTACATTAACTTTAGCTGCACTTACACACGCATAGACTTTATAAAAGTGACAGCTAATTCCCCAAATCTCCTGTTCACCTTCTTTCCCAATGAGATCAGTCTTTTCAAGGTTTCCTCAATGTTTAGAAACACATCTTCTCCACTCCGCTGAGCTTCACACAACTTCATACAAGTAAACTTCTCAGCTACGGTTTCTGGCGTGCTAATAACAGAACCGCTGCCTGCTTCTCTTTCCTTCTCTCAGTCTCTTTGGGATGGAGAGGGGATGTGTGGGTCACCCCATTCTCACTGCCACACAAGGATGATGACAACCACAGTGCAGTGTGGCTCTGGCCACTGAGGAGATGGACTCCCTCACACCCGTGTGAGGTGTGGACACAGGCAAAACCAGGCAGGCAGCTCGGAAGAGGTGATCCTGCTGTGTAACATCATGGGCACATGGAGAACATCACAGGACAGGCAGGGAAGACAGGAGTGAAGCCCCGGGAGCCCAAGGCATGAAAGGCCGAGACCCAGCGCACAGGAGCCGTGAGGCCACCTGAGTCCAACCCTTGTCCGGACAGGAGGAGCAGGTGGGCGAGCCTGGCGTCCCGATGGCCACCACCCTCCCTGGATTCCACCCTCTCCAGCCTCTGCCCCTCCCCCAGGGATGGCCACTCGGACAACATGTCACAGCACGGCTCAGCGGGGGGACAGCAGAGAGGGACATTCCCTCCAGAAGACCCCGAGGGACACACTGACCACACAGGCAGAGACAGCCAGGGCCGCACCTCGAGGGTCAGGAAGCCACAAATAAACCACAATGTTCAATCCACTGCAACCCGATGAGGACCCTCGCTGGTGCAGGCCCAGGCTGTGTGCAGAGCAACCCTGAAAGGAAACCTGCAGCCCCCACCTCACACACTAGGGAACACGGACCCACAACCAACACAGAGACACAACCACATCAGAAGTCTACATTCCTGGAGGGGACACATAACGAACACAGACACGACCAACATGGACACACAACTGACCTGGACACACAACCAACGTGGACACACAACCAACACAGACACACAATCACACCAGAAGTCCACATTCCTCAGGTGAGGATGGAAACATAAAGAAGGCACCACCGGAGCCCCGAGGACACACACACACACACACATACACGAGATGCTGACCAGGAACTCGGGCTCCAGCTGGGTGGGGACAGTTTTGCAGAAGAGGCAGTATTGTCACCGAATCCTAAAGAAAAGCTGCCTCCTGAGACACAGGGAGGAGGGGATGGCAGGGCGGGGTGGGGGGCCCGACCCCACGGCCCATCGGACGACAAGTGACCAGAGAAGAGCAGGGAGGCAGACTCGAGGCACATGGGACAGGGACAGGAGATGGCCCAGCAGAGCAGACCCAGGCAGCGAGGTTCGGCGGGGCGAGTGGATGCAAGCAGGTGGCCACCGCCTTCAGGGCAGGAGCTCAAGCGGTCTGAGCGGGAAGCGGCAGTGTTTGGGGCTGAGGGACCCTCTGTCAGCGGGACCAGGGTGGGCACGGGGGAGGCTGGAGGCTGAGGAAGGAAACGAGGGGGTGGGAAAATGCAGCCCTGGTCACCTGCCCACCTAGCAGGGCCCCAGCTTGAGGACACCTCCAGGCAAGCAAGGACACAGAGGGGGCCATCCCACCTCTACTGGGCACCTCAGGCTCTGAACCAGGCAGCGGGCCTCACAAGCCCACAGTCAGCCCTCCCCGCCTCCTCATGGTCACCAGGTCTCTGCCCCAGCGGGGCTCAACCGGGGACATGCAGAAAGGGTAGGGGCAAGAAAGGGGAAGGATGGCCCCTGGAGAAGCCTCCACAACAGGCCACGGCCTCAAGGACACAGGTCCATCTGCTGTGGACAGAACGTGGCCTCTGACTGCCCACTCGTCCATCCCTGCCTTCAGAGCACTTCACCTTAATGCGTGCTGCATAAAACAACATAACATATATGGGCTACACTTTATGTACACAACTTTTAAACAATTTGACATGAGGCACTGACATCTACGCTCAGAAAACTCTGGAGACCACCATTCCAGGTGCCCAGCCAGCTGCAGTAAGTGCTCTCTGCCTCCACAGGGAGCTTCCAACCCACTGGAGAAAGGACAGAAGACACAAGAAAAAAGAAACTCATAATACTTACAAATAATTATTATATTTTTCTATTCCTTTTCGCCTACAAGAATATCTGACAGTAATTTCCAGCTCCCTTGTCTCTACATAATGAAAATCTTATGTAGCTCAGAAAAAGGGCTGATACTCACTGCAAGGTCTATTTCTAGTTTTAATTACAATGCTTGCCAAAGCTGGGGAGAGATCATTTCAATTCATTTCAAAAATAACTCCCATTCAATACCAGAAGATGGGATTTTTCACAGTTGTGAATTTTTTATTTACTGGGTAATGAAAATGGCTCAGCATATAAATAAAGCATTTGCTTTAGAAACTTTGGTCTAGTGAAGATCCAGGGCTGACATCTATTCATAACAATGAAGTGGTTTTCTTCAAAAAGTGAAAGCCTACACTCCCCTTCCCACCACCACCAGTTTCATTTCTATTTATAACCTAGAGAAAGAGTGGTTCCCAGCAAACGTGAGTCAGGGAGGCTGGCAAGGTGGCCCACTGCACTTACCGATCCATACAGCTCCCCCTTCTCATTCATGCCGAGGTAGAGTCCACTGTCCACGCCACGGATGCTGACCAGACCCACGGCTATACTGATGAACTCCAGGATCCCTGCAAGACCGAGACAGAGGGACACAGGTCAGGACCTGGAGCACTGCCCTCCACATGTCCACAAGCCCAGGAGCAGCGAGGAGGAGCTCTTACTCAGGAACCGTCTTCTCTTAAAACCAGTGCCCCAAAGAAATGAATTTTCCACTAGATCTCAGCTTCTAGTTATGAGACAAAAACACTTATCAACATGACATATAACAAAAAAAGAAATGTTTTTAAATAAAAAGCCAGCATTTTTCTTTTAAACTTCTTATAATCTTATATTGGAGTATAGCTGATTAGCAACGTTGTGATAGTTTCAGGTGGACAGCAAAGGGATTCAGCCATACATATCCATGTATCCATTCTCCCCTAAACTCCCCTCCCATCCAGGTTACCACATAACACTGAGCAGGGTTCCCTGTGCTATACAGGAGGTCTCTGCTGGTTACCCATTTTAACTGTAGCTGTGTGGACATGTTCATCCCCAACTCCCCCCAACTATCCCTTCCCCCTAATCTTCCCCCCAACCTTCCCCCACCCCCATAACCATAAGTTCATTCTCTAAGAAAAAACCTGGTATTTACATATATATGGTAAGAAATGACAGGTCAGATAAGCCAGTGTACAAGTCCTAACTAACTTATACGAGTATAATGTACGAGAAAACTTACTTCTACTTTAAAACTGTGAAATGAAGTGTCCGTGTATGGGCATGGATTGGAAAAAAGTTCTATTCAGAGAAAAGTCTACATCTCTTCAAGTAAGAATGGAGATGCCAACCAAAGACTTGTCTGGTTTACATCAAAAATTATCCGGCTCTCTCTGTCCAATATAACAGTATTATGCTCCATCTGGAAAACTAAAAGGCCTACATCCCAAATATTTCTGCTTAAAGTATTGATTTTTCTCTGTGCTTATCTAAACCGCAAAGAGATACTTAAGCAATTAAGATAACACAATATTTGGAGGGAAAAAAAAATGCTCATTCCAAAAAAATGCTCTTGATTTAAAATAGGCATGGATTACTATAACCCAAAATCAAATCAACATAACAATCTTATTTCCTTCTTTCCTCTTGCTTACCTCACTAAGAATAACATTGCCTAAGCTGGGCATAAATCCAGAATTTTATAGTCACACAACAGCAGCTCTAGGTTCCATAACAATAGTGTTGTTTCAACATGAATACCCCAACGGCATTTTGGGGACAATAGTAAGACACTCATGCTCAGCCATTTTCTCCACATTTTGTATTAAAGTGCTACACTCTGTGTAAACCTTGCATTAACACATAAAAAATACTGGGCTGTTTTAGAAATATCTGCAAATATTAAAATAATTTACTTACATTTAAAAAGTTTAGAAAAAAATAGGGATAACATTGTGCTACGGTCAGTCTCCTGTGACTTGTAAAAAAGCACTTATGTGGATTTTTAAACAATTAATTTTGCAACTCTCACGAAACAGACTGTGCAGCAATCATAGTAAGACATGGACTACATAAATCTAATAAAGCAAAGGTTCCAAGGTGATGGACAAAGAGAGAGACTGCTTATAAAAGGGTGTTCCTGTTATAAGCACAAAATGTAACAAATTCTTTGAGCTTAGTTGACAAGACTGTCCATCTGAACCTGCAAGAAAAAAAAACTATGTATTTTAACAGAATGTGAAATAGTGCGTGGGAAAATATGATGAGAAATTGCCTTCTGAATCTGATAACCGGTGAGTCTCGAATGAAAAACACATCTGAAATAAGTTCATTAATCAGCCATTCCCTACCTCACAAAGCAAATGGAAAGACAAATAAGGCAATATTTCCATGAGAGTCAGTTCATGTGAGATGCACGCCCTTATTGATGAATCATTTTATTTCATTATGCCACATCCAACTCTTAGGATTAAAAATAACTTACATTGTGGCATTTTATTACTAAAGGAGTCACATACTACAGTGTGAGTCTCTTCTTAGCTACCTGAAAACACACACTGTAAATCATAGTAATCCTGAAATAGGATAAGGAATTCATTAACATCCAATTTTCACTATAAAATGGAAACATTTTGCCCCATTGCAGCTGAACAATTTAATACACTATGTCAACTGAAAGTCATAAAACTAAAAGATACTTGTACCTTCTAAGAGGGTATTTGATGATCTTTGCTTTCCCTAATATGAGGCAGCTCTGAGAGACCTAATAACAGTTATCAACCAGTGTTGCCCATCGGCCCAAACAAAACCTAAGTACATGAGCTCTCACAAAGCCATGTGCCAGGTTGGTCTACAGGACATCAGGAGCACCAGTCTGTCAGTGACAACCCCAACAGCTGGGGTCCTCCAGCATCTAGTATGTGCCCAGTGAGAGGCCTGCCACATAAAAGCCCAAGGTGTCATCACATGCAAGCCCTGAGATGACATACGGGGATGCCAGGCTTAAGGACAACCTCCCCGGGAGCAATCAGACTCCAATGCCTAGGTCTTCCCATCAGCTTTACCTTTCCTCAAGAGTCTGGGATTTCTGTACCACTTTTTTTTTTAATTGGAGGCTAATTACTTTACAATATTGTAGTGGTTTTTGCCATACATTGACATGAATCAGCCATGGGTATACATGTGTTCCCCATCCTGAACCCCCTCCCACCTCTCTCCCCATCCCACCCCTCAGAGTCATCTAAGTACACCAGCCCTGAGCACCCTGTCTCATTCATTGAACTTGGACTGGTGATCTATTTCCCATATGATAATATACATGTTTCAATGCTGTTCTCTCAAATCACCCCACTCTCACCTTCTCCCACAGAGTCCAAAAGTCGTTCTTTACATCTGTGTCTCTTTTGCTGTCTCACATATAGGGTCATCGTTACCATCTTTCTAAATTCCATGTATATGCGTTAATATAATGTATTGGTGTTATTCTTTCTGACTTCCTTCACTCTGTATAATAGGCTCCAGTTTCATCCACCTCATTAGAACTGATTCAAATGCATCCCTTTTAATAGCTGAGTAATATTCCACTGTGTATGTGTGCCACAGCTTTCTTATCCATTCGTCTGCTTATATATATGGTCATTCCCTCACCAGTGAAATGGAAGATGTGAAATAGAGATGAGACTTGGCCGAGCCAGTGCTCAGGACAAGTAGCAGCAGAGGAAATGAAGAGCAGGCAGGCTCCTGTGTCTGCACTCTCCTCACACAGGATGTGGGAAGGTGGGCAGCTACGCATGTTAACATACTGGTTTTGTGCACACACAACATAAGTTCTGAAATGATTATCACATATTTTAGAAATGAAAGTGCTAAGAGATCAATCTTGTTATCTCCTGGCATCAGTAAGACATGCACTCATTCATTAAATCAACAAACTAAGGAGTAAGCCAATGGGCATCCCCGGTGGTTCAGCAGTAAAGAATCTGCCTGTCAAGGCAAGAGACATGGGTTCGAGCCCCGGGTCAGGAAGATCCCCTGGAGAAGGAAATGGCAACCCACTCCAGTATTCTTGTCTGGGAAACTCCATGGACAGAGGAGCCTGGAGGGCTACAGTCCATGGGGTCACAAAGGAGTCAGACACCAGTGAGCAACTGAACAACAACAAATTGTAAGCCACACCCTTTGTTGAGAATATGACCATGAGCAAGGACTAGACTATGACCTCAAAGAGCTTCCCATCTAGTGGGCAGAAGGACAGACAACCAGGTAAGTGTAATAACAATTGGGGGGCGGGGGCGGAATGCAATGAGAGTTGGGTATTAAGGGTAGACAGGCAGCTCACTCAGGCTAGGGAAGGGGAGTCTGGGGTGCTTCCAAGGGTTAAGACCAGAGACAAGTCTCCAAGGAGGGAGACTCCAGATGAGAAGGAGCTACACCTAGGGACCCCAGATGGAAAGGATGTCATCACCTCAAACTTGCATCCTTAGCCCTGCAGCCCCTTGAGACACAGAGACCTCAAAAGAACAGCCCAGCTTTTCATGAGGTCACCTTGTGATCTGAGGGCAAACAGAATCTAGAACATCTGAGTCACAGCTGCTCCCCCACATGCAGAGCGCATCAGAGCTGCAAGGCCAGGAAGACCTGGCAACATGGCAACAAGCCCCCGCCCTACCCAGACTGGAATCCTTGACATTCCTGGAACCATCCTGTCCACCAGGAACTCCAGAACCTCCAGCAGGTAGGTTACCTTCTCTCTGGGCCCGAGCCAGTGCCAAGCATCTGCTTTGGACTGCACTAATCTGAGCGGGGTTGCCCCCCTCCACGGCTGTTTCCACCAGCATAAGACACGGGGTGGGGGGTGGCTGTTGGCTCAGGTAGAACCTGGGGAGAAGGCTTCTGTGTAGACACAGAAGAGCAAGAAGGAAAGAACTAGGAAGAGAAGGGAGGGAGGGAGGGAGTGGCCCGTCTCTCTTAGGCAGTGCAGAAGGGCCACAGCCATAGGCACTGATGGAGTGACCTGGGCAGCCACGCTCCATGATGCTGGCATCTAGCTGTGCCCTTCCACAGCAGGTAAGCACCCCCATGAGGATGCAGTCCCCGGGGCCCAGGAGGCCTGGTGGGGTCTGACAGAGCCCACGCTCATCTGTGATCCACAAAAGGCCAGGTCAGTTCCTGAACCCCTTCAGGAAAATGACCTTGGCAGAGCATCCCCCTGACCCGAGACACCAGGTGAGTATGTTTGGCCCCAGGCTCTGTTCACAGGAACCATTACCCCAGAGCTGGCCCTGCTCCCGGTAGCCCCTCAGCCCTGGGCTGCACCTCCGCTGGCCGTGGAAGTGGGTGGGCCGTGTGAAACAACCCTCCAACCTAAAAGCCCCCAACACTTAACAGACCTGCATTCTTTAGAGGACAAGAATGTGTGCAGGCTGTGCAGAGAGGCACCAGGGCAGGCTTTCTAAAATAGATTAACCTCCCCCCTCCAGCCCCCTGCTCGGGGGAGAACCACACACCAGAGCTGCCAGATCAGTCATCTCAGAGCCTGAGGCCTTGAGCAAAGCCCAGGGTTCATTTGGGAAATGACTAGCTGAACGGGAGCCATCACCTCACCGATTTTTCCAGAATCTGGGCCTATCCTGAGAACAACATCCTTTCCCTGACTGAGATACTTAAGAACAGATACACATAACTAAGTTGTTTCAAGTGAGACCCCTGGAAATAGGGTTGTTTAACCTCTCTTTTTAAAGCATGGCTATTGATCATATTTCTCCCCTCTGGCACTACTACTACACCTGACCCCAGGACCGGCCGCCCCAAGGCCCCGGCGAGGACCAGCCAGCTCCACACCAGGCTGGGTCACCCGGCTCCGGTTCCTCGTGCCAAGTCAAATAGCGGATCAGGCCCCAGGCTCCTTGTTTTTATTATCCACATTACCATTTCCTCCATTGATTTTTCTGCTCACTTTTTCCGTCCAGCAGTATTAGGGAACGAACCGTCTGGTTCCCCTGGGCCTATCAACCCAGATGGGATCCCGGGTCCCCTTCTCCGGGCCTGGCCTCCGCGCCAAGCCAGCGCCCCCCACCCGAGGAAAACAAAGGGCCCCCCGCGCCCCCCGTGCCCACATCACGGCTGCACAGCTCCCACAGGCACCGCCGCGAGGCTCCCCGCCCCCCGCCCGCACTGCCGCTGCTGTGTCACCGCCGCAGCCGCAGTCACCTGCGTGGGGGCGGGGGGGGCGTCTCTCCCGCGTCCTCTGCCATTTCCCGTGTCAGGTGGAAAATGCACCTTCTGTTTTAACCGAGGTGCAAGCCCCCTTGGCCCCCTACCCACAGCTCCTCTCCTCTAGAGGCTCGGAAGAGAAACTAGGGGTGCACTCGAGGTCCGCAGGGCACGGCGCGGGGCGGGGGACGCGCGGGGGGGAGATGGGGGGCGTACTAGGTGCTGCGGGCAGGGCGAGGTGGGCGCCAGGTGTGCTGGCCGCACCCACCCCCCGCCCCGCGCAGGGTCCTAGCGCCCACACTCGCCCGCGCGCGCCCCCGGACGGGGCCCGGAGCCAGGGTGGGCGGCCGGCGCCGCGCCGCGCCGCGGACGTTGCTGACACCCGGACCTGCCGCTGACGGCTCCCGTGGGAGCTTCTCCGCGCCGCCCCAGGATGGAAGCCGCAAGAAGCCGGCCGCCGCGCCCTGCCTCCCCGCCCCCACAGCGCGCGCCACCCGCTCCGCAGCATCCGAACCCGGCGCGGGCGCGCCCCTCCCTCGCCGCCCGCTGCGGCCGACCCCCGCCCCGGGCCAGGCCCCCACCCCGCCCCGCCCCTGGCTCGGGCTTCCGCTGCCCGGCCCCCCAGCCAGCGCCGCCCCCAGCTGCCCGCCGGCCGCGCGGGCGGACGGCGAGAGGACGCGTCACCTCCGGGATTGGGGGCGGGGGTGCCGAGGCCGCGTTTTGTTTTACGGTCTCCATGCAGCCGCCGGGCCCACGTCCTTGTCGGCTGACCCCAGAGAGCGCCTCTCGGCCGCCCCCCGCTCCGGTCCCCGGCCTCCTCCGTCCACCCCGGTCCCTCGCTGTCCCCGAGGCAGAGGCACCGGATTCCTAATGACCGGGTTGCGTGTAGCGAACGTCCTACCCGAAAGGCGACTGCGTTTAAAAAACAGAAAAATAAAAAGCGCACGGAGTGGAGGAGAAGCCCCAGGCGGAGCCTCCCGGTCTCCTGGGCCGGGCTCGGCTACTCCGCACCGGAGGTCCCCGGCCGCACGCGGGCGCCCATTGCGGGTTCCCCAGGCGGAGAGGGGCGGCGGGTCCGCAACAATGGCCCGCGGCCCCCTGCCTACGCCGCCCTTTGTCCCCCCTCTCTTCCCCCTCTCTCCGGCCCTGCCGGCCGGCTCGACCCACCTCCGGCGCCGCGAGCCCACCGCTCCGGGGCCCAGCTGTGCGCTCCGAAGGACCGAGAGGGGTCCGAGACAGCACGGGGCTCCGGGGCCTCGGCCCCGCCGCGCACGCCTCCGGCAGCTCCCGCCCCACGCGCGATCACGCTGCTCCCGGCGGCGGCCCGATCCTCTGGACCTGCGTTCTCACGCCGCGAGCGCGAAGGGACTCGGCCCCGGGCTCAAGGAGCCCGATCCATACACGCGGCCGGAGCGCGCCCGGGGCGGGCGACCCGGACTCGGCGGTTCCTACAGCCCAGGGCGCGCGGGGCGGGGGCGAGCCGCCGAACCCGAGCGCGTCTAGGACCGCGCGGAGCAGGCCGGAGGCAGCCGAGTGCGCGCGGGGCCCGGGCGGCCGAGTGGCACCTGCCGACCGGCGCGCGGGGGCCCGGGCTGGGCGCGACGTCCCCGCACCGGGCCGCCCGCCCTAGTCCGGAGCGCGGCGCGAGCTCTGGCGGCCCGGGGGTGACCGGGGTGAGCACTTGCGCGAAGTTTCGTCCTCGCTTCGCAGCGGCCGGAGCCGCCTCCACTTCTCGAGCCTCCTCTGGGTAACTGGAGGCCTCAAAGCGGACGGGGGCCCGGGCAGGGGGAGGGCCCTGAGCCGTCTCCCTGGTGGGTCCCTCCGGGCCGAGGCTCGGGGAGGGAGAACAGAGGCAGGAAACCCCGGGCCGGCCTCACCTCGGCCATCGTCTGCAGCCCACGAGCTACACGGACAGTTCAGACCATGCTCAGCATCTGGCGTGAAGCTTGACGAAGAAAAAGCACCATAGGACTTTGCTTTTACGACCTAGTTTAAGTTGTCAGGTGGGTTCGCTCAATAAGTTAACTCCTTCCAACAGTCCGGTTGCCCAAACGCCGCCACCCCCGCCCCCCGCTTTATTTTGTAAGTGTGGGGGGAAAAAACCAGGAGAAGCCCCTCCACCCACCACCCCCGGGGCGCTGCCGTCGGGCCCGGCGGCTCAGCAGGCACGTGTGTGAAATCATTAGAGCGGACGGTCTCCAGCCCCCGGGTCTGCAGCCCTCGTGCTGAGTCACAGACACCCTCCTCGGGAGATGAAGCCCTCGGAATGCCCTTTAAAATTAGCTCGCCGCTTTTGCACGCGTGCACACACGCACACCAGAGACACCCAGGAATCCCACACAGGGCTGCGAGCGGTGGGAACTGGACAGATCACAGGGCATGAGTCGATGGCTGGAAGGACAAACGACCCTGGACAGGGCCCTGCCCCTGCCGGAGTCCGTCCCCCACCCAACCCCCGACCCGCTCCCCCACCCCCTGCGCCCTGCCCCTGCAGCCCCGGAGTCAGAAATACGACTTCAGTCTCTCCTCCCACGGAACAATCTGCAACCTTCGCCTAAAGCGCCCCAGTCCCATTCCCCGGTGGGAATCAGCAGTACGCTTCATTTACAATTTAAGCAGGACACTTCTTGGAGGAATAGAGGGAAGGGGCAAAAACTTCATTTGGCACGAGATGATAACCACTGCCTTGAGCAAAATGCATTTTAAGTTCTCCGTGGTTAATGATTAAAGCTTGAAACTCGTGGAATCAGTCCATTCAAAAGAAACTTCCTAAACCCGATCTTGCCCGCCTATCTGATGCAAAAGAACTAGAGGTATGTGTTATATTTATAAATCATGTCCTCCTTAAAAAAAAAAAAAAAAAAGCCTTTCAGTGTAGACCCGCATCAGTGCCAGCGGCAGGTCTGCAATTCCAGAGGTTTTTTTCACCCCTGGAGCTAACGAGACCGAGTCAGGCCGAGCCCGAGGGAGGCAGACCCCTTCCCGCATCCCCCGCCCGCGCCTGGCCGCCTTCTGGGTAGCTGCGGTCCGAGCCTGCCAGCTCGGGCCCTCAAGGGTTAACGGTGCACCTACCGAACCGGCTGTGGTCCTTCCTGGTTCCCTGGATAGTACCGTTGGGGAAGATTTCTAAGTGAAATCCAGTCCTGCAGTACAGCTGCCTCCTCCTGAGAATCCCCTTTAAATGATCCAAGTCCGTGACCGCGGGTCCCCTGGGAAGCCCCCCTGCTTCGGACTGACCCAGGTGGTCACTTAGCAAGACCGGGCTGTCCACCGGCAACACCGGCCCGTTCCCGAACGGCACCGCATCCTGCACGCCGAAATAGTTCCCAACTTCACCCAGGGGAGCCATCGGCACAGTCGGCGGGCGTTCCGAGCACAGCGATAAACAATGATGATGGTGCCAACCCAGGAGGTACTCGGCGAGGTAAATCCAACTCCCGTCCCTCACTGCAGTTGCAGAGAGAAGAAGAAGAAGAAGAAGAAAAAAAAGTCCTTTTCTTCAATCCATGAAATGCATCAATAAAAGTAACCTGCCGTTTCGCTGGCTCAGGTTCAAGGTCAAACCGCGGATAGTCTAAGCAAGCACCACTTTATACTCGCACACTGACATATTGATAAACGTATCTATGTATCTCTACACACAGATCCCCAGCTCTCGGCAGGCAGGCAGGTCTTCATCTCATCCGACCGTAGGGAGGGAAAAAAATCCGGAGTTTCTCCATTAGGCTTGCGACCAGAATGACCATAGCAACTTAAATGCCTAGGCGTTATTATAGGGGTTTTTAAGATGCACGGGCTACGTCAGAATTTACGGATCCTGACTCCAGGAAGGCATGCGCTGTTTTTACTCTAACCGACTCTGCAGACATCAGCAGGAATCCTTCAAGGGAGGGAAAAAAAAAAAAAAAATCTCACGTTGGTGGCGGCGACGAATCTGCAGCCCCGTCCCCTCCTCCAAAAATGAGAAGGATGATAATAAAACAAAAAGAAGGGAAAACTTTAGGCGTCCAAGGCTGGTGTCCAGAGTCCTCCGGGGGCTCGGCTGGCGTCCATCGGCCGGGCACGGCAGGCGGGCGGCGGTGGCGGCGGGAGCGAGGGGCGCCGGGGCGAGACCCGCGTGCCGCCGGCGGCCGCGAACAGGTGTCGCCGGGGCGCGGGGCGAGGTGGCCGGAGCGCTCCTCCTGCGCAGCCCCGCGGCGCGCAGAGTGGCGCAGGCGGCGGCATTGGGCCGGGTTTAAGGTAGCGCCGCGCCGCCCGCGCTCCCCGCGGTCCTAGCGCCCGCCGTGACCGCCGCGCTGCGGCAGGCCCGGCGCCGCGCGCCCGAGTGCGGGGACCCGGGGGCGCCCGGAGCCCCCAGTCTCACAAAGGAAGCGCGAGGCCGCAGGCCCCCGGGCCTCTGCGGCCGCGTCACTCACGCGGAGTCGCAGCCGCGAAGTGAACCCCTCGTTCGATGCGGCGGCGGAGGTGCAGACTGAATCGGGAGAATTAGTTTTCCCACTTGGGGCTCGGGGGCTGCTTTGAGTTACGAAATAAAACTTAGCTAAGAGTTGGAGTGAAGGGGGCTGATTTAATGAGCTTGAACGGACCCCACAGTTCCGCTCTCATCTCTCTTGCAGACAGCAGCAAGCGACGCGGCAGGTGGGACCGGGGAGGTGGGGGCGGGGGGCTGTACGCCCAGCCCCCTTCCACGCGCGCATATCGGCCGCAGTGGCTGCTCCTGGCCGGTTCGGGGCTCTCCCGGCGTCTCTAGAGCTGGCGCTGCGTTTAGGTCCCGCCCCGCGGCGCGGCCGGCTTTGGGGGGGGGGGGGGCCGCCGGAGCACCGCCTCGCTCCCCGAGCTCGCCTGCGTCTGCGGAGAGTCCGGGTGCAGGAGCGCGCGCCGGGGACTCCCCTACCCTGGAACCCTGGGCCGCGCTCCGAGGGGCGAGCTGGGCCCGCCCTCATGGGATGAGAAAGCCAAGGACCCCGGGTCCCTCGCGGCCCCGAAGCCGCCGCCGAGCTGAGGGAGCCCGGTACGGGGAGCGCCCGGGGTTCGCGGACTGTGCTTCCTGCTCTAAACCCGCGGGACGCACGTGGAAGCCGGAGCCCCGAGCCCGGGGCTCGGTTCTGCTCGCGGCCGGCGGCCCTCGGGCCCAGCCCCGGGCTCGGGACAAAGAAATCCGGCGCCCGAGCGGCCGGGGAGCCGCGCGGCGCGCTCTGCGCCCGATCCCCGCGGGGCTGGTTGGAGCGCGACGCCCCCACGCCCGCCCCCAGCCAGCCCGCGCGCCCCGCTCGCCCCTGCTCCCCTTTGTTCACATTGTCTTAGAAACGGCCAGACTCTCGGGGCCAGACGGTGAAAGCTTCCGAGACTGAGCACCGCTCCAGGCCGCGGGACGTGCCAGGGAGAAGAAGCAAGGTGGGACGCAGCCCAGGGCCCCGGCGCTGGGAGAAGGAACCGCAGCGTTTTTATGGGGGAGAAGTCGGGTCCGCCTCTGCGGCCGGCTCACGGCTGGCGGCGAAGGACGGGGCTGGCCCTACTCGACACGGAGGGCTGTCGCCGGAAGACGAAAGGGAGCAATGAATCTGCAGATTTCTCGGGCGCCGGAGGTACCGGCGACCCGGAGCGACCTGCCCCTGCCCCCCAGGCTGGAAGGCGTGCTGGCCTGCCGGGGGGAGGGAGGGGGCGCGGCGTCCTGCCCCTCCGTGCCCACACCCGCCGCCGCAGTCCCGGGTCACTGCGCGTCCGGGGCTGCCTCGTGCGTCTCGCTTACGTGTGCGCGGAGCTCCGGAGCCCTGCCCCGCGGCCTGCACAGCAGTCACGTCGACGGTGGGCTTGAACCTGAACTGCCCGGCGGCAGACACCAAAGGCGGGGGAGGAAGTGTCCCTTCTCAGAAACCACCCGAGCTGCTCGCATCCACCACGGAGGCGGCCAGCGGCGCTGGGCTAGGCGGGGGCGTTACTGGACCACTTGGGTACAATGCGCCGGGTTGCTTACTTTTTTTTTTTTTTTTTTTTTTGTAAAACCTAATGAAGAAAGACAGGCGGGCGAGCAGACGGAAGGAGAGATGCGGAGAGAGGGAGCCGCCCGACTAGGCAGGCCGAGCGGCACGTGGGCACGGGCCCTGAGGCCGGGCCGGGGACGCTTCCCACCCGCCGGCCCCGAGCGCATTCTTTCGGTCTAGATTTGGACCGGCAGCCAATGAGCCGAGAGCATTTCCGCTTCCGAACCCCGCAGCCGCGTGACGGCCCCTGTAAAAGCGCTGCGGCGGCGGGCGAGCCCCCGCGAGCCGGTGGAGCGCCTTCCCAGCCGCCGGGCGCCCCTCTCCGCCGCAGTCGCTCCGCCCGCGCTCCTCTGCGGCTCCACCCCCGGCTGCAGGCAGCGTGCGCGGCTTCCCTCACCCACCGGCTAGCTCCCCCTGCCCCTCGTGCACGGACAGACGCTGTGTCCTTCCTCTCGCCCATCACACCCCGTTTCTTCGGACCTCACCCACCGCCCGGGGCGGACGCCCTGCAGACCTTCCCGGCTCCGCCGTGGTGCACGACTCCCCTGCCCTGCCCTGAGCGTGTGCTGCACGGGTATTCTTCAATTAGTGCACAGAGGCTCAGCTCCGAGAGGACCCGGGCCTTGCTTTCTTAGAGGCACGCGGTGTCACCGCCTCGGAAAACTGTTGTGAGGAATAAAAGAGAAAATGCCCATGGAACAGGCAGGACACAATAGACGCTTAAGACGTGGTGGCTGTGGCCACACTCTTCCTAACACAGTTCCGTGGCTTCATCTGCGCGCGGGGTATTCAGCCAACACTGTTACTGATTTGAACCCAAAGCCCCCGTTAGGCTACCTCTTCCCAGTACGTTCATCCTTCTGGGTTCCCCGCCTTCCAGTTTGCCCCCTGTCTTTCCTGCTGATAATTTAGTCCTCGGACCCAAACAGGAGACTTGACAAGGGAAGTAGAGATTCGGAGGGGAATGCGCACTAGAACGAGGTGGCACGTCTGCTCCCGGCTTTCCCAACCCACCCGCTCCCTGCGACTTCCGGTTCCTCCCTCGCGGTCCTGCTGAGCGGATGCAAAGATGGGGCTAGGATACCTGTGTGTAAAAGTGACCTGAAGCTATTGACTCGCTACAAACCAAAGGAGACATTGGAAATAGTTCTCTGCCCACCTCCGCTTCTTACTCCATCCGCGTTTGTCTCCTTTGATTTCCTTGGACACCCAAACGCAGACCATCCAGAACCCTTTCATTCTTTTCCTACAACAACCAGGTAAGGGATCTCTGTCCTTCCATCTCCATCCCCCCATCCCCCCACACAACAGCCCTGCCTCTACTGATGGGCTTCGTGTGAGAACTGGGAGGAGGGGATAGTGGTTCCCCGCAGGTTGGAGTCAGTTCCCACTCGGACCCCCATGGACTAGATTTGAGCTTTAATGGTGAAGACAGAACCCCAGTAGCCAACATTGATCCATGGCTTCCTGTGCTCCAGAGACTCTACTAAGGGCTCTCCTGCTTTATCGTTTTAATCCTCAAACTACCTTACGAGGTAGGTACTATTACTATCCCATTGTACACCAGAGGAAATTGTCTTATAAATAAGTTAAGTAACAGTACCCAGTGCCACGGTGCTCCTAAGTCGTGGAGCCAAGTCCACAAGCCTCAGACCCCTATGGTGCAGACTCCAGCTGCCCTCTGTTTTACTGCGCATATGCTCGTAAACATTTAGAAATAGCATGTTTCCATAAAATAAACATATACACATAAAAACAACCAGTTAAAATAGGTAAGGAAGAGATAAAGGCCATGCTTAAAATAGGAAAAGAAAGATAAGATTCATAGGAAAAAACTTTACAGAAGTGCACAAGATTTATATGAATAAATGTGTTTAAAGCTCTCTAGGGACACAAAAGAAAATGTGAACAAATGGAATGCCACACAATGTTCTTAAATGGAAAAACTCAATTTCATAAATATGCAATCATTCCTAAATCTAAAAACAACAGCATCATAATAAAAACACCATCAGCTGTTTTTATTAGAAGAATTTATGCTAAAATTAATATAGAAATTTTAAATTGACAAAAAATGTTTGAAATTGACATTAAAAATGAGAAAGTAACTAGCAGCTATAAATATTTTAAAGGTGTACTAATTAAAACAGAGTAGCATTATCCTATAACATTCATTTTAGCATGTGAACAAAGAGATGAAGCAATAACACAGAATAGGAATCATAGAAATAGACCCAAATGCATATTGGAATTTAATACATAATAGTCAGTGTTGGGGGTTGGGGTGGGGAATGTGAACTATTTAGTAAATTATTTTGAAACAACTGAATAGAGAGTAGATATCTAAATAACACAGTAGTATCCATACTTCACATTCTACATGAGGATGAAACCTAAATGGAGCAAATATTTAAACATAAAATATAAAACCATAACAAGTACTAAAAGGAATAGTGGAAGAGTTCCTTTATCATCTGGGTTATGAAGGCCTTACTAATTGTGTCACAGAATTTAAATGTCTAAAAGAGAGTAATAATAAATTCAACACACACAAAACATTTGTTTAACTGCATGGGGAGAAAACACAAATTTAAAATATAAAGGACAAAATGGGAAAAAATGGTCATCTTATATCAAGACAAAGGACTGATTTTCCTTATATGCAAAGAGCTCCTACAAATCAATAAGGCAAATATGATTTCTGGTCTCAGTCTGACATGCAGAGCTTGGAAGTCTCTCTTCACAGAAAGAAAAAGGTTGAACAATGTGAAAGTCAACAGTTCTTCTTAGATCCATCAGAGAATTGAGGTCACAGGACAAACTGCTGGTCTGGAAACTGGAGAGAGAGACAGATGCAGAGAATTCTTAATTGGAGCAGAAGCCCACAGCTGGAACCAGGATCAGTAGGAACATTTTAAACTATAATTGATGAATTTCTGGGGGCTCAGTGTGGACAAGTTTGACAATTAAAAACTCAGAAGAGCCCAAATCTTAGAAGGGGCCCCACAGTTTCCTGAGATTTACTTCCAGAAGCCCTACCAGGTTCTCACTGAGGAGATCTGAGAAAAATTCCTTCCTGCTTCCTTCAGGAATAGGAAAGAAAGTAACCATTTTGAAACATGCCCAGAGCTCTCTGTTCTCCTTAACACAGCTTGCCTTCAAGGGGAACTATTTTACCAGCACCTAACATACCTGCAGGGATGGGAATATCCAAGTCCAGCCCCTCCAGCCTTCAACGTGGGG